GAGGGAGTCAGGACAGCAGGGACGGCGGCTGGAGGCATCTGCCAGCGGGGACGACCAACACTAGAGGAGGAAGCACGGCGTGAATATACACTTCCCTCGGTCCTCGATCCTCGATCCTCAATCCTCAATCCTCGATCCTCGATCCTCGATCCTTCTCCTCCTCCTCCTCCTCCTCCTCCTCCTCCTCCTCCTCCTCCCTCCTCCTCCAGCTCCCTCCTCCCCACCCTCCCTCCCTCTCTCGCTTTCTCCTTTACAATTACACAATATGAAAATACTCTCCCACTTCCCCCGATGGCGTCCCGAACATATCCGACACCCCCCGCGTATTGTTTTTTACACACAGGATTCCCGGGAAACGGGTTTTCGCTTGCGTTTGTTTTGAAAATGCTGCTCTCGCTGAGGCGCTGGCCTCATTTCTGCTCCCGAATCGGTCCGAATCGTGCTCCCGCTGCAGCGTGGGCCTCATTTTCGGATCGGTGGTTGGCCTCCGTCGTTCAGGATGGCGTTCTCGCCCCAGCGCGGGCCTCTTTCTCGCGCGCCCATCCGCCCGCCACCACCGCGCCGCACCACCACCACCACCACCACCACCACCACCACCACCACACCAGCACACACGCACGCACGCACGCACGCACGCACACGCACGCACCACGCGCACCACTACTACGCACGCGCGCGCGAGCCACAGGTCCGCTACGACACGCGTCCGCGGATAGAGAAAATCAGCGCCATGGTAAGGGATGGGAGGGAGGGGTAGGACGTCAGATATGACGCGAGCGCACCTAGCTTACCTCCCCCCCCTCCCTTCCCTCCCTCCCTCCCCTCCCCTCCCTCCCTCCCTGCCTCCATCCCCCCTCCCTCCCCCCCCTCCCCCTCCCCCCTCCCTCCCCCCCATCCCTCCCTCCTCTCCCCACTCCCCTCCCTCCCTTCCTCCCTCCCTCCCTGACGCGCGGAGCGCCAGGCGGCCCAGCGCCGATCCAAGAGATCCGCGTGGAACCCCCCAAAAAACATGTTCCTGCAGTTCTTTGCTCGTCGAAAGACAGCATCTTGGCGGCGCGCACAGAGGAGTGGCGCAAGGTGCCCCACAGTGGGCCAAGGAAAAGGACTGCCCAAGACAGCCCCCACATGGCCCAAGGAACCCCCAGACGGCCCAAGACGGGCCCGAGCGGGGGAGTGCTACCTCACATGTCGAGGCCTCCGCCCCAGGAGGACCCCACCAAAAAAAACGCCAGCGGGCCCCCGGTAGCCCCTCGCCAAGAGGCCCCCCGAGACCGCCGAGGAGCCCCCGAAGATGCCTCCGAGAGAGACTTCCTCCTCTCCTGCCACCTCCCGCCTCTTGCCCCGTTGCTTGATCTCTTCCCGGGATCGGCGGAGCCGGCAGTAAGGCCTCTGCAGGATTACTGGGGGGGCCGCTGATGCTCTCGCCGGCCTTCCGCCGGCCTTCCGCTGGGCTCCGCTGGCGGGGCCGCCCCCGTTTTTGCTCGCGCAGGCGTCCGCCAGCCTGCAGCCCTCTTTCGCCGAGGCCTAGCCTCTGGATCGCTCGATTGCGAGGACCTTTCTTGGAGGGCATAAGAACAAGACAACATAATAAGCACCCCTACGAGCACAGCTCTTCAGCAAACGCACCATCAGAAGCGAATCGAACAGAACAGGACTGTTCCGCACAAGTATAGGACTGCGTCGTAAGCGCCAGCCAGGTATGGGGGTCGGGATGGTCTTGTCCGACCTCGAGCCCCGGACTGCCCTCACACTTGTGGAGCCGAGCTCGGTGTCCTTACCGATACCGTACATGTAACGTGCAGCTTGCTCTGTCTAGGGAGTCGGCCTGGAAAAGGGGCGCCGCCTGAGCCTCAAGCTGGCCGCTTATGCGCAGAACTCCGATCCACGCTGTCCGCCAGACCAAGAAAATGTGCGCTCGAGGCTTCCTCCAGGCTCCTGGGTAGTCACAACGACGAAGAGCGAGAGATCGATGAAGAGCGGACACGAGGGGAGGAAGCAGAACCCCGCCGTCAACGCGAGGGTCGCTCTCCCACCAGCCAGGGTCCTTTGGACTGGGGAGCTTGGGCAACAGGCTGTCTGGATCGACGTTCATGCGCTGCCGCAGCGCGCGCGGCACCAGATAGAGGTCAAGGCACCTCCGCCAGGCTTAGTTTCTCTGACACTGCCCCCTCCTCTACTGGTCTGCGTCGGCGTGCGTCCGCTTTGTGCGTCAGGCTGACCCTCTCCTGAACAACGATGTACGCATCTGATATGTCTTTCAACGCCCACCTGCATCGCCATCCTCCCTCTATTCACCCTTCCCTGTCCATGACACAATTCCTCCGTAGCACCATGCCCCTATTATCATGTGTCTGTGGGGGTGTCTCGGGGCGAGGCGCTCGTTTTGCGCCTCCGATTCCTCCTTTTGAAAACTTACGATCACAGCGATGCACCAGGCGTGGCACTTGGGCGCCCCAAGGAGGACCCGCCAGGGAGGGGGACACTTTCACGCTTGCGCTCAAGCTGTGGGGATGTCTCGAACGGTTTGCTCGTTGGGCGCCACCGGCCCGTCCGACTTGAGGGCCCCGTGAGGCAAGTGTCGGGCTGTCTCGAGCGAGGCGCTCGCCATGCCCCTCCACCTCCACCTCCTCCTCCTCCTCCTGCTCCTCCTCCTCCTCCTGCTCCTCCTCCTCCTCCTCCTCCTCCTCCTCCTCCTCCTCCTCCTCCTCCTCCTCCTCCTCCTCCTCCTCCCCCGCCTCCCCCTCCTGATCATGGGGCTCTGAAAGAGCCTCCCTCTGAAAGGCGAGGCCCTTTCAGAGCCCCGTGATCACAACGATGCAGCAGGCGCGGCACTTGGGCACCCCGAGGAGAAGCTGCCAGGGAGGGGGACGCTTCCCCGCTCGCGCCCAGATTGCGGAGATGTCTCGAGCGAGGCGCTCGTTCTGCAGAGCCCCGTGGTCACCGCGACGTGGCAGGCGTGGCACTGGGGCACCCCAAGCAGGAGCGGCCAGGGGATGCTGCATGTCCCCGCCCGCGATCAGATTGGGGCAATGCCTCGAGCGAGGCGCTCGTCTTGCACATCCGACTCCTCTCCACTCAGGGCGATCACCGCGATGTAGACGTCGGTCGGAAGAAGTAGGTGGAAACAGGAAGCAGGAAGGCGTTGAACATAGATTGGGTATCCGCCCGCCCCCCAAAGAGGACGGAAAGGGCGAAGCCACTCGAGCATGAAAGTAGGAAGGCGCTGGAAAGTATACTGGAAGCTGGGACTCCAAAACTACCTACTTTCAACGACCGATGGGGATGCCCACTTGCCTGCTGTTCGTGGTAAATCGTAGAATCAAGTTGTGAGGGGTTCGTATGTCTGCGGTAGTGATGCTGGTGCTAGTATACAACATAGTTGCTATGATGTGGTGTCGTCGTGATGCTGGTATTGGTGGTGGTGCTGTGCATTGTATGTGATGTAACCATCGGTCGTTACGACCGATGGGTAGCCATCATAGCACTTGGGTGCCCCCATGGGCAAGCCGCCAAAGGCATGTTGCGCCCGCCCCTCCGCGGCCAGAACGTGGGGACATCTCTGGCGAAACGCTGGCCTTGGCAACCCCAGCTCCCCTCCCTTCAGTGGTGGGCCAATGTTCCACCACCACTACCACAGGCAGGGCGGGGGGGGAAGGAGGATGGGGAGCTCCTCCTCCTCCTCGCCCTCCTCCTCGCCTCCTCCTCCTCCTCTCCGCCTCCTCCTCCTCCTCCTCCTCCTCCTCCTCCTCCTCCTCCTCCTCCTCCTCCTCCTCCCCCTGCCCCTCTCCTCCTCCACTTCCTCCTCCTCCTCCTCCTCCTCCTCCTCCTCCTCCTCCTCCTCCTCCTTCTCCTCCTGGTGGAAAACCGGCTCATCACTCGGAGTCCAAAGATCACCCCGACGTAGCAGGCACAGCACTCGGGCACTCCAAGGGGGAGCCGCTATGGAGCGCTCGCTGTCAGCACGTGCTCGCCAGCGGCGAAAAAAAATATCCCGGCAGAGCAACCTAACAGCGATGTGTATAAGCATATCTGGAAGCATTCCCCTTGGAATGAGGTGCAGTAACTGACTCAAGACGTGGACGAGTTTTGCTGTTATGCGCGGCCCACCACTCTGCTAAGGTGGGATGTGGCCTCGGTGCTAAGCGCTCTCCGCGCTTGAGCCATGGCCCCTTAAGATTCAGGTGAGAATCCAGTTGTAGAATTCTGCTGTTGCCGCAGTCGCAGTCGCATTCGCAATGACAGTCGCAGTGGCAACGGCCTTAGGATCCAATGGAATCCTAGGGATTCCTAGTGATTCCTAAGGTATCCTTAGGCATCCTTAGGAATACATAGGAATCCTTAGGAAACCTTAGGAATCCTTAGGAATCCTGATTCCTAGGGATTCCCAGGGATTCCTAAGGATGCCTGAGGAATCCTAAGGATTCCTAAGGATTCCTGAGGATGCTTCACTATGCCTACGGATTCCTAAGGATGCCTACGGATTCCTAAGGATTCCTAGGGATTCTTAAGAATTCCGATGGATTCCTACGGATGCCTCTGCCTGCCTCACTTTCAGCCTCAGCCTCAGCCTCAGCCAGCCTCGGCTTGCCTCGGCCTCAGCCTCAGCCTGCCTCGGCCTCAGCCTCAGCCTGCCTCAGCCTCAGCCTCAGCCTGCCTCGGCCTCAGCCTGCGTCAGCCTCAGCCTCAGCCTCAGCCTCATCAGCCTCAGCCTCAGCCTCCCTCAGCCTCAGCCTGCCTCCTCAGCCTCAGCCTCTGCCTCGGCCTCAGCCTCTGCCAGCCTGCCTCAGCCTCCCCTCCTCCCCCCCCCCTTCCCCCCCCATTCAGCCTCACCTTGTCTCACCTTCGGCCTGCCTCGGCCTCATCCTCAGCCTCAGCCTCAGTCTCAGCCTCAGCCTGTCTCGGCCTGAGCCTGCCTCGGCCTCAGCCTCAGCCTGCCTCAGCCTCAGCCTGCCTCAGCCTCAGCCTCAGCCTGTCTCAGCCTCAGCCTGCCTCAGCATCAGCCTCAGCCTCAGCCTCAGCCTGCCTCGGCTTGCCTCGGCCTCAGCCTCAGCCTGCCTCGGCCTCAGCCTCAGCCTCAGCCTGCCTCAGCCTCAGCCTCAGCCTGCCTCAGCCTCAGCCTGCATCAGCCTCAGCCTCAGCCTGCCTCAGCCGCAGCTTGCCTCAGCCTCAGCCTCAGCCTCAGCCACAGCCTCAGCCTGCCTCAGCTTCAGCCTCAGCCTCAGCCTGCCTCGGCCTTGCCTCAGCCTCAGCCTCAGCCTGCCTCGGCCTCGGCCTCAGCCTCAGTCTGCCTCAGCCTCAGCGTCGGCCTCTCAGCCTCAGCCTGCATCAGCCTCAGCCTCAGCCTCAGCCTGCCTCAGCCTCAGTCTCAGCCTGCCTCAGCCTCAGCCTGCCTCAGCCTCAGCCTGAGCCTGCCTTGGCCTCAGCCTGCGTCAGCCTCAGCCTCAGCCTGCCTCAGCCTCAGCCTGCCTCAGCCTCAGCCTCAGCCTGCCTCGGCCTCAGCCTCAGCCTCAGCCTCAGCCTGCCTCGGCCTCAGCCTGCCTCGGCCTCAGCCTGCTTCAGCTCGGGCATTCAAAATATGGCACAGGACTGGTGTTCTGGGAACACGAAGATCACAAGTGGCCCACGGCTGGCTCCGGGAATTCAAAATATGGTACAGGAATGGTGTTCTGGGCGGACGAAGAACACGAAGTGGCCTACAGTTGGCTCCGGGCATTCAAAATGTGGCCTGGGAATGGTGTTCTGGGCAGACGAAGAACACGAAGTGGCCTACAGTTGGCTCCGGGCATTCAAAATATGGCCTGGGAATGGTGCTCTGGGAAAACGAAGAACACGAAGTGGCCTACAGTTGGCTCCGGGCATTCAAAATGTGGCCTGGGAATGGTGCTCTGGGAGCACGACGAACACGAAGTGGCCTACAGTTGGCTCCGGGCATTCAGAATGTGGCCTGGGAATGGTGTTCTGGTGGCTCCGGGCAGTCAAAATGTTGCTCCTGGCAATCAAAATGGGAGTCCCCGGATTCCCGCGGCACCCGTCCGGCATCTGCCCAGACCCCCCTGGGGAGTCATGATGCTCTCTTTTGAGACCACTAGACCACTAGAAACCTATCAGTCTTCGCTGTTAGGTAACATCCTGGCGAAAGACCCAGCCACATGCAGTTGTGGGCACTGCCGTTGTGTGCGCCGCATTCGGTGGAGCTCCCTTTGGGGCCACGAAGCGTGTGAATGGGTGTGCCAAAATGGGTGCGGTGGGCGCATGCGAACGCTGGCATCTGGGCCTTCGGTGGAATTCCCCATGGGGCGACGAAACGTGTGAAGGGGGGTCCCAACATGGGAGCGGTGGGCGCATGCGAAAGCGTGAGAGGGGTGTGCCAGAATGGGTGCGGCGGGCGCATGCGAGCCCTGGCATCTGGACCTTCGGTGGGGCTCGTCATGGGGCCAAGGAACAAGTAAGAGGTGTTCCAAAATTGGCGCGGCGGGCGCGTGCGAGCGCTGGCATCTGGGCCTTCGGTGGAGCTCCCCAGTGGGCCACGAAGCGTGCGAGGATGCCCCAAAATGAGTGCGGCGGGCACATTCGAGCGCTGGCATCTGGACAAGTGGAGCCCCCATTTGGGGCCACATAAACATGTGAAGAGTGTGCCGAAATTGGTGCGGTGGGCGCATGCGAACGCTGGCATCTGGGCCTTCGGTGGGGCTCCCTGTGGGGACACAACAACGTCCGAAGGGTGTGCCAAAATGGACGCGGTGGGCGCATGCGAGCGCTGGCATCTGGCCTTTGGTGGGGTCCCTTTATGGGGCCACAAAGCGTGTGAGGGGTGTGTCAAAATGGGTGCGGCGGGCACATGCGAGCGGTGGCGCATGTAGGTTTTCGGTGGAGCTCCCTATGGGGCCACGAAGCGTGTGAAGGGGTGTGCCAAAATGGGCGCGGTGGGCGCATGCGAGCGCTGGCATTTGGGCCTTCGGTGATGGAGCCACGAAGCGTGCGACGGGTGTCCCAAAATGGGTGCGACGGGCGCATGCCAGCGCTGGCATGTGGGCCTTCGGTGGGGTTCCATATGGGGCCACGAAGCGTGCGATGGGTGTCCCAAAATGGGCACGGTGGGCGCATGCGAGCGCTGGCATCTGGGCCTTCGGTGGAG